AGTGATTTGGTGCACAGGCTGAGATGGGATCAACCCTTATGGTGGGAGGCAGGGAGGGATGCTCCTTTTTACTTTTGCATGCACAAAGACATCTCTGTGCCAAATTAGTGAGCCTGTCTGGACTGCCAGCCAGTTGGGACTACGATGTGGCTGAGGCTCATGAAAAGTCATCCCGACTGATCCCCTGGCATGTTCCCAGTGCTGTCGCCCCACGGACTGTGGCAGTGGGATGCTACATGCATCGGGGCCAGTGCTGGGGGGGGGCAGTTCTTGCCAGTAGAGAGCCAGGTTCAGCAACAGCAGGGTATGCTGGCACCAGTAAAGGGTCATCCCATGACAGCCAGCATGGGAAACCCACTCCACCATTTCCAGGTGCTAATTGTCACCTCCTGCTAATGAGCCATTTTCCCTTCCTCTGTTCACTGGTGCCCACCCCTGGGGGTTTACCAGCAGTGGAGCAAAGCCCAGCCTTGCCAGTAGAGAGCCAGGTTCAGCAACAGCAGGGTATGCTGGCACCAGTAAAGGGTCATCCCATGACAGCCAGCATGGGAAACCCACTCCACCATTTCCAGGTGCTAATTGTCACCTCCTGCTAATGAGCCATTTTCCCTTCCTCTGTTCACTGGTGCCCACCCCTGGGGGTTTACCAGCAGTGGAGCAAAGCCCAGCCACTGCCTCCCAGGGGTACTGACATAGATGCCAGGATGGCAGCCTTGTTATGCAGCCCAGCAGCCCCAGAGAGCTCCTCTCCCCTCCTCGCCACTTTCCTACGCACAGACACTACCATGCTAAGGGACTCACATCCTCCAGGGATGCTGCTGGTGATGGTGGTGGGATGGGAAAAAGCAGCCAGGACAGCAGCTGGCTTGCGCCTCTTCTGAGGCAGAGAACCAGCTAGCAGCCTTCAGAGCTTGCTTGGCCTATGGGATGGGGGATAATGGTGCAGGGCTCCTGGCCACCCAGCACCCTGTGCCCCCACACCCAGGGAGCATGCATACAAGGGGAGAAACAGCACCCTGCCCCCACTCTGCTCCTGGCCCTAACATTCTAACTTCTGGGCCCAAAAATCATGATGCAAGACAACCCAGCACACACCAAGCCCCTTGGCTGCTTTGCACCCATCCACTCCTCCCTCCTCCTCTTTCTCCCTCCTTTCCCAACCAGCCCTCAATTAAACTGTCTGAAGGCAACGTCTGGTTTTAATTAGAGCAAAATACCAAAGATTAGGCTGAAATCGGACTCTAGTTGTTTACGGGACGTTGGTGGTTGGAGGCATCAGCAGGCTGGCAGCTGCCCTCTGGGGCTGGGTGTTGCCAGAGGGCCAGTGGGGCACATTCACAGCCTCTGGGGCTACAAGGGGACCTACCACCAACTCCACCACATCCCAGCGCCTCTAGCTTCCTACAAAATGGTATTAAGACTTACAACCATGAAAGCCCTAGATGTCAGATTTTCACCTGGACCCATTGGCATGGGGATGGAGGATGGACAAGGCCCAGGCAACCCAGCAGGCTGGAAAGGGCTTTGGCCCTGCCCAGGGCTGTGATTAATGCCTGCCGGAGGCGCCTAATTAATCAATGTTAGGTATCTCGACTGCTTGTAGCTCATTATCTCCATTGATGGCTTAGGGAGGGATGATGCTTTTGTCCTGGCTGGATCTATAGCTGGTGAGCCCAACAGGTCCTTCACCTCTGCTGCAGTGATAGGGAGGTTGGGGTGGTCCCCCCCACCCCAAGTTGGAAGCTGGGGACGGTGTAGGGGCCAGTGTGCATGTGGCACAGCCAGACCTGTTTCGAACCTTCTCTCCACTGCCGTATTCCTCCCGCAGAGAGTTTGCTCGTTGGAAGGTGAATAATTTGGCCTTGGAGAGGAAAGACTTCTTCAGCCTGCCGCTTCCACTGGCCCCTGAATTCATCCGCAACATCCGTCTGCTGGGACGCCGACCCAGTGCCCAGCAGATCACCGACAGCCTCATCAGAAAGTATGGGACACACTTCTTGCTTGCTGCCACGCTGGGAGGTGAGTGCTGGTTGGAGCTCACTCCCTGCTCGCTTCCCTTGCACGAGGCAGTGTGCAAATGAGGGAAGGTGGGAAAATAAGCACTATAGGAGAACTGTGGCCAAGAAGGGAACGGGGGGAGGCAGCAGCCCCCCAAAAGCACTGCATGTCCTCCCCAGGAGAGGAGTCCCTGACCATTTTTGTGGACAAGCGCAAGCTGAGCCGGAGGGCAGAGGCCACCGGGGTGGCTGGGAACAGCTCGGGGGTCTCACTGGAGACCCTGCACCAGCTGGCAGCATCCTACTTCATTGACCGGGAGAGCACGCTGCGCCGGCTCCACCACATCCAGATTGCCACAGCCGCTATCAAGGTAAGCGAGGGTGCGAGGGAGAGGGCAGTGCCGGGAGACAGCAGCTCTGGGCCTCAGCAGCAGCCCCTCCAGCAGCACCTCACCAGACAGAGGGGGAGAGCAGGCAAAGTTAGCACATCCGCGTTATTTATGGGAAATTGGGCATGCTAATGAAGGCACATTTTTCAGCGGGCTGCAGGCAGGGCTGCCACCTGTCAGCACGCCAATTAGCAGCCAATTAGTCCTCCTTTCCAAGTGTTGCCTTGCTGTGGGGAGTGGGGCATGGCAAGGCTGGCCAGGGCTTATCTGCAGCACTTTCAGTGGGGTGGCTCACGCTCTGGGTCCCCTCCTGTGTCCCTGACAACCTGTGGGTCTCCCCTTAGGTGACTGAAACACGCACAGGGCCACTTGGCTGTAGCAACTACGACAATCTGGACTCAGTGAGCTCCGTCCTGGTGCAGAGCCCTGAGAACAAAGTGCAGCTCCAAGGTAGATCCGGGCTGGTGGGGACGTGGTTATGGACAAGTGCCACTGTGGGATGCTTGCGGGTGCATAGGGGGCCGCAGGGGAGGATGTTGGCTCGAGATGCTGCTCTCAGTGTAGGAGCTGGGGAGGAAAGGGGATGAAAATAGTCAAAGCTGGGCAGGATGAGGTTGTTGCTCGTCTGCCAAGAGGAGCCAAGATCGATGCACAGCCCAGACAAGCGTCTCCACAGCAAATTGATATGATAATCATGTAAGGGTGGGAGCCTGGGGAGCGGGAAAGCTCGCTCCCTCCTTGCCCGGACAATGTTTTTGAGGGGCCCTACAAACATGTGCCCTGATGCTCTTGGGGCTCCTCCTGCTCACAGGGCTGCAGACAGTGCTCCCCTCCTACCTGCGGGAGAGGTTTGTGGCGGCCGCCCTCAG